AAGATCAGAAGGGGTCTTGCGTATAACAGGTGCCCAGGCCATGTTTCCTGGCTGGTTGATGCAGGCCCTTCCTCACCTGGCAGCAGACACCTTCTCTCCTGCCTCACCCCCCATGTCACTCTCCCCTGGGCCCTACCTGCCAACCACACTGGGCTTCCTTCAAAAGTTTCTTAAGTGTTTCGAGTTACTTGTCACCTCATAGCGCCTTTGCATATGTCATCCCTTGCCTGGCTGAATCCTGTTTATCCTTCAGCTTCCAGCTGCATTGTCACTAATTCATTGTGCTTCCCTAACTCTTCACCCCACCCCCCAAAATTCTAAATTAGATGCTCCCCGGACTGAATTAAGTGCATTATGGAGCATCCATTCAATAGAATACGGTAATAGAATAGAATATGATACACCTCACTTGAAAGAATGAGGTTTACTAGTATATTATCAGGGAAGATAAAAGCAGATTGCAGAGCAACACGTATGTAAAGCGATCCCATTTGCACACATTTTTAAAAGACGCATGTGCTGTGGTATGCATAAATCCTCTCAGTAAGTACATAGAAGAGATTGTTGATAGCGATCACCTCTAGGGAGACAACTGGGGCCCCTACAAGGAAAGGGAAATTTCATTTTAAACTTTTCTGAGCATTTAAACTTATTACCACATGTGATATTACTTTTACCTTTAAGAAATAAGACAATTAGATCTCCTGTTATGTTCAGCTATAGAATCCAGTTCGTTTCCTTCACAGTATGTATTGAAATTTTTGATGTTTACTATCCCCACTATGCTGGTGCTCCATGAGGATGAGGACCATGCCCATTATTTGCTGCTGTTACAGGCACTACTTAGCATGGTGCCTTTCACGTAGTAGTGCTCAATCAGTATTCCTTGAATGAATGAACAAATGAATGAATGAACAAACGAATGAACAAACGAAGAAGCAAATAAATGCAGTTTCCCCGCCGTTCTGCTAACCGGACAAGCAGGTTGAACAACCTGTAAGATAGATAGCTAACAGAAGAGGCAGAGAACAAGTGCAAAGACCAAGGAGAAGCTGTTTGGCGTAAGGTGTGGGAGCTGGGAAAGCCAGCAGCTGATGATCTGTGAGAGGAGAGCGACCTGCATGGACCAAACGAAGAAGCAGATAAATGCAGTTTCCCCGCCGTTCTGCTAACCGGACAAGCAGGTTGAACAACCTGTAAGATAGATAGCTAACAGAAGAGGCAGAGAACAAGTGCAAAGACCAAGGAGAAGCTGTTTGGCGTAAGGTGTGGGAGCTGGGAAAGCCAGCAGCTGATGATCTGTGAGAGGAGAGCGACCTGCATGGACATGGCGATCTGCGTGGGGACGGAGATCCCCGTGGGCATGTGACTTGTGTGGGCTTGGTGACCTGCGTGAGGAGACGCTACCTACCGGCCGAGCTGAGAGGAAGGATGGGGCACCCACTGCCGTGGCACTGGAGGCATCATGGCTCTCTTGCCTCACCTTCCGCTTTTCTGGGGGCTCTTCAAGGTGCCCGGCCACCACCTCTTTTCCACGGGACTAGTTTACCAAGACGTGGCTGGCGGGGGTGAGTCCTAGGGCCCTCTGGCGTGGGTGCACTCTTTTCATTCTGTTCCGTTTGGCCTTGCATAGGGAAGTGGCAAGTCAGGGCATATGGTGAGGAGGGAGAGACTTTGCTTATTTATGGTTATTGGAATCAAGAGAAATACCCAGGAACAGAGGACATAGAGTCTCAGGCAAGTGAAAGCTGTTCACTTTGCGTGCAGTTGTCTCACCCCTCCACGGTAGGAAGTGTCTCTGAGGACACTGTACCTTTGCAGAGAAAGTATGGGGGGGGGCGGTGGGGACGAGCTCGGGGTGGGGGGGGTCCGTCGGAAGCCTGTCTCTATCCGTTATTAATGGTCTCACCCCATGACAGCTACCGAATCTTGCTGAGCCCCAGCATTCCTGTCCGGAAAATGGGCAGGAGTAAATGAGAAAATGAAGGAAGAGCCCTGTCCTTTCTGTCCATGCGCAATATTATATATATTAAATAAATAAAAATAGTTACAGAATTTTTATCACGTACTGAGCATAGCATTTAGTCCTTAGAACTGTATGAGGTGGGTATAATTATACTAGTTTTACAGGTGAAGAAACTGAGGCACAGAGAGGTTAAAGTCCCACAGCTGGTACATAGGGGAGCCAGGACGTGAAGCCGGCCATCCTGCCTCCAGCGCCTGCGCTCTTAACCACTGGCCGAGAGTCCTACCCCTATAACTAACTCATCGTGTCTTATTAGCAGCATAGAAAAAAATGAGATTAAAGTTAACGAAATTATTAATTTTTAAAAAACAGTGGTAGCTTTTCAACAGTACTAGAGCAGGCTCTTATATTTCTCTTAATATCTCTATTAAAATTGTGTGCTTTTTCATGTTAAACTTGATAGCCTAAACCAGCCTAGGTCACTGTTCCAGACTTGCAAGTCAAGTAGCTGTGTTGATTGCACACAGGCTGTATCATTCTATGTAGGTAATAGAAGGATTTCTCAGGTCTATTTTCTTTTTCTAGTTTTGTTCATGGTGTGTGTATATGTGTGTGAGAGAGGGAGGGAGGGACGAGGGAGAGAGAGAGAGAGAAGAGAGAGAAAACAAAAATTCTCAAGAACGTGTTATGTACACTTAAGCAAGTACTTCTCTGTGATTATAAATCAGAAACTGTAAAATTGTGAAGTTCTTTGAAGTTTGCCCAAAACCGGCTCCACGGCCACCTGTTCCATTGGGGGCTGGGAGTTGGATGGCCTGACTCTGCTGCGATGGCTCAAGCTGTCACTGCACTGGAATGTTGCAGCTTGCCTTGGCCTGGCTGTCATCGTTGGCTCCGTCCCACTCAGGCAGTTCACCGGGTTCTGTTGGGCACCAGGCTTCCAATTAGAGAGAAATCCCACTGTGTGGCCAGCCCCACCAGTGCCACTCTGAGAGGCCCCTTTGCCAAGGCCCGAACTGACCTCTGATCTGTCACAGATGGGCCAGCCCCACACTCCTTTGTGCACATTTGGAGGAGGGGGCGGGGATGAAGAGGGAAGCCCGTGGGGAGTCGCAGTGGACATTGGGCAGCAGTGCAGCTCCTCAGCGCTGGGAGAAGCTGGGCAGAGTTGACATGACCCAAATGCTAGCATTGTGGAGGGAAAGGGGACTATGGGAAGACCTGTCCTGAGCCCCAAACTCAGCAGGGGGCATTTTCTTACCAACTTCTGAATATTCATCTCAGGCTGGACTCCACACCCAAGGAGAGCCAGGAGCAGCTAACTGGCTCACTCCAAAACTGTCATACCGCTGATGGCGCATGGCACAGCAGCTTCCTCCCTGCCCCGCTGCAGGCTCTGTGCAGTCTCGCTGGCCTCAGACCCCGCCTCACCCTGGGCTCCAGAACAGCACGTCGGCAGCATCCCTCCCACAGGCTGCATTACTGACACGGAGCAAGAGTGAACGCGAAAGCTAGATTTCTGTTGGCCTGAGAAATAGAATCTTAGAGAATTCCATCTCTAATTCTTTAGCAGGATAGAGAGATACATCTAAATTCTGAACAACTTCTTTCTAGATAGAGGACCTGGTGAATTCAGTTCCTCAGTTTGGGGGAGTGAGTGTGCGTATTCTTTATTTCCCTATCAGCCTTTTCTTTTTATTTTTATCCCATTTCCTTCCTTTAATCACTCTCCACGTGTCTCTTCCTCTCTGTGTCTTATTTGTTGTGTCTCCCTTGTATACTTCCTCTCTTTTTCCAGGTACAGCACCTGTACCCCACAGTCAGAAGCAACAACAAAGACACAAGGCTTGAAAATGACATATATTCGGGCTTCGCTTGACCAGAGCAATTGTGAAGTCTAAATCCTGAATAGCCTGAAAATGGCAAGGGTCTTCCCAGCTGTTCTTGGAATAATCTTGCGTGTATTTTAAAAATAAAATCGAATTTAATCCATAGAAGCAGAAACGAAGGGTTTCTTCACTTTTCTCTCCTTTCTGGGATTTTTCCTCCTTTTAATATTTGGTTTGGGGATTCCATGACTTTCTCAGCCCACTCGCCCTTTTTTCCTGCTCCATCTCTTTCTTTTTTACTCTGCCCCTCTCTACAGACTTTTTAAAACAAAGAAAACTCCTCTACCAGTCGATGATGCTCATTTGAAGAAGGAGATATTTCTGTAGGGTGTCATGTTGTCCCCATGAGAAGATATTTTTGGTATCTTAAGCCAGTTGCCACATTTAAGTGATGTGCTGTCTCTGTTTCTCTATTTGCATGACTATTAAATTGATGAAAGAAAGGGCCTTGGGTCTCCTCTTATTAGACCTGGCAAACAGAGGCCTTGATCTCACATACACTGCTGGGGAGCCAGGTCATATCATTAGGTGTAAAATGTCCTTAAGACACATGACCTGGCTCGAGGCCATGACAACTGACAATTGCAAAGTCTGTGATGAGCTAATGCACTTGTGGACCTTGGTCACGAGGAGGTACGCTCCCAGTGACATCCGCCTCATGCCGCTATACTTTCTTAGTTCCTCTGTCTCTGGCCACGTCAGGCTCAGCCATCGGTTCCTCTTCTTTTCTCTCCTCTAACATGAACACTTACCCAAGTACTGTCTGGCTCTCTCTTCTCATTTCTTTACATTTCCCCTTGGAGATGCACTCCAATGGTTCCTAACCAGAGCTTTCATCAAGATTACCGAAGAAATTTTAGGAAAAGATACAGATGCCTGAGCCCCACCCAGTAGGTTCTAATTCAGCAGGTTCTGGGGTAAAGCCTGGGATTCAGAAATGGATGAAGTTCTACCTTTGATCCTAATGCACACCTCTAGTTCAGTGCCACAGCCCTGGATTGGGGACCCCTGGAGGCCAGAGATGGTGTCTGAGTGTCCCTTCTACCCCCAGCATACTGCCCCATGGCTGGCGTGAGAAGGATGTGGAGAAGCAGGCAAGTTCTCTACCGTGCGGCTGACAGTTTCACTGCCGCCTTTCGTTGCAGATATTCCTGTTATTCCAGATCTGGAAGAAGTACAAGAAGAAGACTTTGTTTTGCAGGTGGCAGCCCCTCCCAGGTACGCTCAGTTAGGTACGAAGTTGGTGGGAGGCAGGGAACACGTGAATTAATGTACTCCAAATGCCATCTTAGTGCGGCCGCCCCTAGTGCTGATCCAGATGTTTCTGGTGATGGGCTCCATCCCAGGGCTTTTATTTTATTAGACATTTTCTTTCCATGTTGGCCCTTCCCAGCTGCCTACGAGGCTCTGGGGACGGTGGCCCAGCAGCTCTCCTGGAACTGGGCCTGCCTATGGTTCCTCCTCACATTCTCTCTCTCCTGCAGTGTCCAGGTAAACCGGGTGATGACCTACCGTGACCTGGACAATGACCTCATGAAGTATGCAGCCTTTCAGACCCTGGTATGCAGCCTTTCAGACTCAGGCTAATTTTGAGTAGAACGGCTTCGGCGTAGAGGGGTAGACTCCTTAGGGCTTTCTCAGTCCCTCCACGGCCATACAGCCGCGCCTCCATAGGTCTCTGAGGCTGCCTGGCAACCTCATCCTTGGGTATTACAGCATCTCTGGACTCAACAGATTCCAGCGTTTCCCAGCACAGGCTCCCCGCCGCTTCCATGACTGCCCACTTGGTGTCAGTAAATATGCTGGCCCTAGAGATATGCTATTATCATGCCCTGCCCTAGTGTTGACCTTCTCCCAAAGAATGCCCAGCTGTAGCATGTTGTGGTGTTCCCTCAGTCCTCAGGCCATGTGGTCCACTCACATTTTTTCTCTTTTACAAGAAGGCA